AGAGGGTCCGGCACGGTATGTCAGAGGGTCCGGCACGGTATGTCAGAGGGTCCGGCACGGTATATCAGAGGGTCCGGCACGGTATATCAGAGGGTCCGGCACGGTATATCAGAGGGTCCGGCACGGTATATCATGGAGGGTCCGGCACGGTATATCATGGAGGGTCCGGCACGGTATATCATGGAGGGTCCGGCACGGTATTATAGAGGGTCCGGCACGGTATTATAGAGGGTCCGGCACGGTATTATAGAGGGTCCGGCACGGTATTATAGAGGGTCCGGCACGGTATATTATAGAGGGTCCGGCAAGGTATATCATAGAGGGTCCGGCACGGTATATCATAGAGGGTCCGGCACGGTATATCATAGAGGGTCCGGCACGGTATATCATAGAGGGTCCGGCACGGTATATCATAGAGGGTCCGGCACGGTATATCATAGAGGGTCCGGCACGGTATATCATAGAGGGTCCGGCACGGTATATCATAGGGGGTCCGGCACGGTATATCATAGGGGGTCCGGCAGGGTATATCATAGAGGGTCTGGCACGGTATATTATAGGGGGTCTGGCAGGGCTGTCATTGTATCAGGACACATGCAGTATATAGAGGGTCTGGCAGGGCCCATGAGCATCATGGGTAATGTAGTCCGGAAGCTATGTATGGTGTCAAGGTTAGAGGCTCTGCAAGGCGGGTGTCCTCAGCTCAGGGTCGGGCACAGTACCTGCAGGGCGGCCGGGGAGCTCCCGTGGAATCCTCTCTGCAATAAGCCGGAAACAGGGGCCTGTGAAGAGACAGAGAGCGGTGAATGCCATGTCAGAGAGCGGGGACAGGCCAGTGCGGGGCCAGTCACAGCCCGGCCTTACCTTCCCAGCGATCAGCAATCTCCTCAGCGCCGCCATGTTCCTTCTGTCCTCTGACCGAGACCTTCTCACACTGCAGCCAATCAGCAAGCGAGAAGCGCCGCACCTCCAGGCCGAGCAATCACAGATCAGCTGACTGACACCAGCCAATCACGAGAGCCGGGTCTCCGCCCAGTTCGTGACAACCAGCGGGGAGACTGGGTTACTAGGCAACAGCCAATCAGCTGCCAGATCACAAGGAACAGTACGGGGAGTCACGAGGACCAATTCATTTCTAGTACTCATTAATGGGCGGAGAGCCGAGCTGCATACGGTAAGAGAGAGGCTCTTAATACCTGGGGCCACCTCGGTCTGAGGGCGGGCTACTAGCACCCTGCCATCTTAATAGCTCCACAGTCAGACTGGGCTGTGTGTCATGGCCGCTAGATTCAACCCTGAGCTGTGGGTGAGGGCCAGTGGCCAGGCGGCTGTCACTAGTGTGGGAGTCACTGGCTATGGGCTGGTGGGAGGGTGGGAGTCACTGGCTATGGGCTGGTGGGAGGGTGGGAGTCACTGGCTATGGGC